ATAACGAACCCAGGCTTCCTAAATTTAAAACAGAACTGTTAAAAACTTTCAAGAAGAACGATTATGCTTTTAAATGAGGTTGGAATAAAAAAAATGTCTTTTGGAATATGATATTTGATGGTAGTAAAACGAATCCTCTCTCTCTTATGTATATTTGCTGACTGTAGTACTTTCTTAGAAATAGTTTAGAATGGAGATTTACAAAAATAAGCAACTTTATGAAGTTACCTTTTTAGCTTGTTTTTTTGCCTCACGCTCTGAAGAGATTGCTATAGCAGTAACTTGCTTTGAGAGATCTCTTGCAAATTCAAGGGTTTGGGCAACTTCATCATATTTAGCAACTGCAACTTTTTGATCAGAATTTAGCTCTTTTCCAGCTTTCTGCAGGTCACGATATGATGTTAGTTTACTCTGAAACAATAAAGTAAATTATTTTTTTCATCAGTGACAATAATGATCATGACATCACATTAGTGAATATAATGGTTGATAGATATACATTTTAATTCCATTATTTTACATTAAAAACTGCTGCTATAATTTTAAAAAATCTAGCCGGTTTCAAGTACTTTATGCATTTAATAGAGCATATTATGAGAATAATTTAAAGTATGTAATATGTAACTGTAGATCAAACTAATATTTATTCATATATATATATTACAACATATACATTTATCTCTGGTTGCCATAATACAGTGATCCCAATTTGGAGCTACATGACCATGTGTGGTTTGTCCCCTGTTACATATTTATTCATTAACTTTGTAAAAGATTTTGTTCCTTTTTCTGGAAGTCAATTGATGAAATAAAATGTGAGGTACTTAATTACTTTAAATATTGTAAACTGCCCAAAACTGAAATCATAGGATAAATCATTGAGTTCACTGGTGTATATGTATGTCTTGAAAGCTAGTTCTTTCATTGTATTATCAAGTGTTAAGCTTGTAAAAAAAAACTTTGTAAACCCTGATATTTATCTTGAAAATTCTCCAATATTGGTGTACATAAGAAACCAAGAAACAACAATGTTGCTGACTCTTTTAGTTATCATGATAAAAATAATGTATACTTTAACTACAGTGTAGAAAAATTTATGTCTATTGAAGAAAAAAGTTTTCCTTACATATATGGATAGCCCCAAATACTCATTCTCAGTACAGGTAACCTGCCTATAATATGGTAGATGCATTCCTAAAAATTCCCATATTATATGAGATTAGAAGCAAGTACATACAAAAAGGAGAATATTTTTTTCTGAATAAAACATCTCAACTATGCCTGTATGTATTTTATTTTATGTAATATACATAAAAATAAGCAGTAATATTTCAGATTGTGTATTCATAGTGCATAACTTAATTGTCTAAATAATTTTAAACAAAAATTTTGTTATCATGTTGTAGAGATACAGTGTTTATAAGGTTACCTGTATTCTTTAACCATTTGTATTTGACTATATTATATTAGATATAGGTTAAGTATACATAGTTTTGTTGAATAATTTAACTATAAAATTAACAGGTACCACCAATATTATTGCACTTTGGGTATTCATGAAAGGTATTAACATAATAGGAGTGAACAAATGGATTTATTAAGAATAAGTTACTTAAAATTTTCAGTAATAAATAATCTTTAGCACAACAAAATGAAAAATAATCTTTAGCACAACAAAATGAAAAATACCAAACTAAAGTAATCAAACATTATTTATTGAAAATTCTCTAAAGAAATTTTGGTTTGAATTAAGCTGGACGTATAATTTATTGTTTGGAAGTGATTTTTGCAAATAAAAAAATAACAAAAGAGAAGTAATAAAACAGACAATATAATATCACAATTTATAGGTGATTTATTATATTAATGTAGTTTGCTGTCATAGCAATAGAAGTCTAGCAATTCTATCCATATCTCATCTACAAAACAGTTTGTGGGCCTAACCTGTAAATTCACTATGGACTCGTTTTAACAACAAAAGATACTACACAAGCTAGAACATATAAACACTAAAATACTTTAGTCCTAAATTAAGTTTTTTTTAATAGCAAAGCTAATGTTTTCGCTTTAACATAACTAATTACATTTACTAAAAGAACTACTGAAATAAATATAGAGACAATAAAAAAATTACTCCCAAAAATAACAGGGCGTCATGGTTCTCATCGTCAACTTTGCGAAGCACATGTGTAAAATGGCGTCAAGAGAGTATTTGAATGAATTTAGCAAACAATTAAGGAATAAGCTTATGGAACGAATTTAAATAAAGGTCAAAACACGAAATTAAGGCAAGTTTTAAGAACGATTGAACACTCGACTAACACCGGAACATTAAACATTTTGTTGATATCGTTTACATTGTATTTACTTACCTTGCGTTTTTCCAAATTACGAATTTTATGCTCAATAATCGTCATAATTTGTCGAATTGGTGTATCCTTATCCTCCGAAGAGGCCGGCTTTTCAGATTTTGCATTAGCAGCTGAAGGCATCCTTCACAGGCAACAACTTTTCTTGGATTGCGTCGTGGGTTAGAAGATAGAGATAGAAATTTCTATCTGTCACTCCCAGCAAAAGGACGCAAGTCGTAAGTTTTTTGGAATTTTGCTATATGGCAATACCTACTTTAANTGTCGAATTGGTGTATCCTTATCCTCCGAAGAGGCCGGCTTTTCAGATTTTGCATTAGCAGCTGAAGGCATCCTTCACAGGCAACAACTTTTCTTGGATTGCGTCGTGGGTTAGAAGATAGAGATAGAAATTTCTATCTGTCACTCCCAGCAAAAGGACGCAAGTCGTAAGTTTTTTGGAATTTTGCTATATGGCAATACCTACTTTAAGCATTCAGCTCAGGATCGTTGAGATTTTTTGTTTTGTTTATTTGGTAAGGCAAAAAAACAATACACCAGTTTGATGTCTTGTTATTTCGGTTTAATAATGAACACACACACGAAATGCGTGTGTCGTTTGTTTAAGAGGGAAAGAGAGAGAAAACGCAAGGAGTAAATTGGTGTGAATTTTTTGGTTTTGTACATTTAGTATTTCCTCAGGGTTAAAAGTCTATTAATGATACCTGTTTAGCATGTGAAAGTGCGCAAGTCAGGCAGAAGTCGGTAGACATGGCTTCTCAAGTACTAGAAAGCCCAGTCAAGTCTCAGCATATTCTTACTATATTACTGTGACATTATTTCTAATCTTCTTAACTCGTTTCTTCTTCTTGTTTTTTAAAGTACTTATGAATTAAGTGTTTATAAAGGTAACAATAGCATCGCAAGAAGAGTCAAAATATTTAAAAAAATAAGAAGTGATTATAATTCCAATATTCCGACTTTTTTATTTAGATCGTTTTTTCTGTTATTCTCCGAAGAACAAAAATAGCTTCGTACTATTATAGTTACTAATAATTAGGAGGAAATAGATTAAAATTGAAATTAACAACGGCTACTTTTATTTTACACACCACATATTAATTGAATTGCATTAAATCTCATTTTATGCAGACGTTAAAACTAGTAGGTACATATTATTAAAACTAAATTTTGTTAATGGTGTAAATTTGTTTGCTTTACCTATACCTATGCCTAATTTATTATATGGTTGTTTTGTATTGCTGGTTTCCAAATGAATAATGCAATAAATATGTACATGAGTAATTAATTAAAAAGGTCTTAGATAAAGGTTCTTGTTCTTCTCTTTTTTAATATGCCATAGTATGCCAATTGGTTTCTTTCAATGCCATTATTGCCAGCATTATGTCTAAATTCAATATATTAAATGTTTTAAATATTACAAGTAGAACATTTCCCTTCCTTTGAAATATTTGGGCCTATTTGGCGGGAGCGCGAACTGTGTGAATTGTTTTATTTTGTTACTTTAGCATTTCTTCAGGCTTCAACGTGTAACAAATGGTTAACTGTTTAACATTTGTGAAAATGCACAAATGTGAAAAAATTAAACAAATTCGCGTTCGTAGCTTCTCGGTTCTTACAAAAAGTCAATAAAAAAATTAAAATAGACTTGGTTTAAAGCTGCAGTTACCAAGCCATAAAATCATTTAAAAAAACAAATTGTTATATTTGTAATCTATGAAGGACTTTTTGGCGGGAACGCGAGGTGTCAAGCTGTGCGATTTGTTCTATTTTGTCTATTTAGTGTTTCTTCAGGTTTAAATGTGTAATAACGGTGGTTTATTAACTGTTTAGTATCTCTGAAAGTGCACAAATGTGGGAAAATGAAACAAAGCCGTTGGAGGTAGCTTCTCGAGATCCTCCAAAAAATCCACTGAAAAAATCTCAGTAAACGACCATCATTTTACTGAGATTATATTTCATCCCATCTCATTTCATTTAATTTCATCCCAGTTGATTAATGTCTCAAATTCTTCATTTCATTTCATTTCATGTTATGCCATGTTTCATATTAAATTAATCAGCTTCATTTCATAATAATCATATTTCATAAAAAAATACATATAAAAGATTAGGCTGTATGGTATGATGCCTTTGCCTTTCCATTTAAAACTACTACTACTGTAATCTATGAAGGTATTCACTGTATTCGACTTTTTGGCGGGAACGCGAGAAGTGAAGTTGTGTGGTTTGTTTTAATTTGTCTGTTTAATGTTTCTTCAGCTTTAAATGTATAATAATGGTGGTTTCTTAACTGTTTAATATTTGTGAAAGTGCACAAATGTGTGAAAATGAAACAGCGCTGGACGTAACTTCTCGGGATCCTCCAAAAAGTCCACTGAAAAAATTTCAGTAAATGACCACCATTTTACTGAGATTACATTTCATCCCACATCATCTTATCTCATTTCATTTAATTTCATCCCAGTTGATTAATGTCTCGGGTTAATCATCTTAATTTCATTTCATCCCATTTCATTTCACTCCATATTATCATTTTTCATAAAAATAAGAATTTAAATTAAAATAAGACATGACTTAAAGGTCTTAGTTACCAAATCATAAAATACCCTAAAAAAAATATCACTGTATTCGGGCAAGGTTATGAGTTTAAAATACGATTTTTGTTAGGAACTTACTTACTACTACTTAACTGCCTACTTTATAATTTAGTTTGCGAGTAAAGTTCTATTCTATTAGTGTCGGTTAGTAGACCCAGATAATAATATTGTTACGCATTCTCACTTCTCTGTCAGTTTTCACTGTTTAGTAGAAAAATAAATAGTGTTTTATTAACTAAAATGTTAAGCTCGATCAGGGTAAGTTTTCGGGAAATGTAATTTACTCTAAACCATACATATTTTTGTTTTGTGTTTATTCAGATAATGAAATTCAATTTCCATACAAATCCACTTTGTTCTACATAATATAACACACAACTGTATACATACAATACAAATGTATTTGTCAATTTTCAGACACCTACGTTGATTCGAGTATTTTTTGGCGGTCAGCGTCTACATACATCAGTAGCACGACTAGAAGGACAGAAAAACGAAAAAAGTAAGCATCCAATAAACATGAAAGTTTTTAGTTTTTTAGGTTAAGTACTTGTGGATATTCGCAGACCAAATACATTCAATCAAGATATGCTTAACCGTATTAAAGTAATATACGCTCTTCCCTATAGGTGAATTGTATGTAATCGTTCCGCGGTATCGGTTCGTGAATACGTTAACAATAATTAAAAATCACTTTATGCACTTAAATACACATTCACACACATAATGGTTGGCAGTGACTTGGCTGTGCCGCTAGCAATGCTGACGTCCGTGGGCGACGGTAACCACTTACGATCAAATGGGCCGTATGCTCGTCTGCCTGCAAAGGCAATAAATACATGTTGAAGTTTTTACGGCCTAAAGATAAGTCGCCCAATGCATTCATATCTAGAATTGTAGCCGTTGTTCCGATGAAATACTGTCTGAATAAATGTTAATGAATGACTTCCACGGTGAAGGAATAACATTGTGTAATTAAAATCAAACTTGCTAAAATTATGGTTTGAGTTATACTGGTGGTAGGGCATCTTGTGAACCTAGTTATTGTCTATGGGATCTGGTGACCACTTTACTGTAGGTGAGCCGTGAGCTCGTCCACCCATCTAAGAAACAAAAAAAGTGTTACAACAAATCAAATAAAATAAAAACTTGATTTAGATGATTGAGTGTAAATACATTAGATTGACAACTATTTCTCATGTTTATAAATGGAATATATATGCATTACAGCCATCAATCAAGTGACACTTTTGGGAAGAGTTGGTGCAGATCCTCAAAAACGTGGTTCTGAAGAACATCCTGTAATAAATTTTCCTCTTGCAACACATTACAGCTACAAATATGAATCTGGTGATATACTGCAAAGAACAGATTGGCATAGAGTGAGTATATTCAAACCTGGGTTACGAGACACTGTCTATAAATATTTAAAGAAAGGTCAAAGAATTTATGTAACTGGAAAATTATCTTATGGAGAAGTAAAATTGGATGACGGGCAAGTGAGAACAGCCTCAACTGTTATTGCTGATGATGTTATATTTTTTCAAAGCATACCTTATGAATCTGAATAATAAAGGCCATAATATCATTTGCAATGAAATGTCATTGCAAGAGATTTGCAAAACAAGCATTTAGTGATTAATAAGTGTTGAAGTTATATTTTGTACAAACCAAAAACCCATCAGTAACCATTCAATTAAATTGAATTTAGTCTTATAAAATGACTTTTAATTTGAGTTACCAAATATTATCATATAGTGTATCAGTAAACAGTTTCTTGCATTTATAATTTGTCTATTAAATGCTTATGCTGTGGTTAATTAAAGGAACATAGGAATTATTTTATCGACATAGAAGTTACGCATCTTGATTTGAAGGCTCGACACTGCTGTTACACTACATAATTGAAATTTAAACATCATCTATCAAGCTGCTTGGCAGTATTTACCTTGTGTTGACAAGTTACAGTAATCCATTAACCCATAAATTAGTGGGCTATGAGCTCATTTATCTGATCTGTGTAATAAAACTATTATTTGCAGCCACAATGAGCTTTTTATAAGTCATCAGACTTTTAGTCCATTACTAGCTTTGATTTATGTATATCGACGCTTGAAAGGCAAACGTGACTAAGCGACAATAAATGCTTTGTACAAAAATGATAGGAAATAAACATATTCGAAGCGCAAAAAAAAAATTTCTAGGTCTATTAAAATCATTTCAATCCTACAGCTAGATTCGTTAAAATAAATTTTGTTTTCAGGTATTTCAACTTTAAATTAGTCTACTGAAAAGTTCACGCATTGTCGCTTAGTCACGTTTGCCTTTCAAGTGTCGATATGCTCTATCCAAGTCCATTTTAACATAAAATTGCAAATTTTTTTAGCTAAACTACTTTAAACTTTCGTAGTTTGGAGTGTGTCTGTTACATGCCAAAAAAATAATTACATTACATCTGTAAGTACATTAAATTAAAATATCTAACAGGTTCTTGGCTTCATCTAATAATTCCTTGGACACAGTGATTGATGATTTTCTGATATTTGATATATATGGATCTGATGTAATTAGAAGGCCATGAAATACATCTGCATTCGTTGCGGACCTAGAGCACTTTCTAGCTCGATGTAATCTGACCCTTTTTTTAAAGGCCACTTGCTGTTAAGTGGTTACTGGAGAGCCCATAGACATCTACAGCGTAAATGTCGCCACCCACCTGGAGATATGAGTTCTTAGGTCTCAGTATAGTTACAAAGGCTGCCCCACCCTTCAAACCGAAACGCATTACTGCTTTACGGCAAAAATAGGCAGGATGGTGGTACCTACCCGTGCGGAGTCACGCGCGTTTCTACCACCAGTAAAAATGTAATCTTTATTACGAGATTCTTGGGCATCCTCCGATAAAACACCAATAGGCAGAACAGCAAAATGTCTAATTATACTTTCCCCGTGTATAAATATCTTATGTACTGATGAAGGCATGTTATACCACATTTATTTTGTAATACACAATTGTGCAGTAGCGTACGTATATTATTCACCGATTTTTTTCTGTATTTACTGCAATGCCGTATACCAAAGTCTGAAGGATTATATAGAATCTTTTATTAAGATCCTCTTCAAACTCCTGTAATTTCTGAAGAACAATAGTAGTTCTCAAAAAATGGTCGAGCTGTATTGCCATCGTTACTATTTCCACTTCCTTGTCGGGGTTTATCAACATTTAATCCCATTCGGCTTCGAAATAAACTTGTACAAGTTTCTTCTTGTCTTCTTAAATTTTTTCTCTTCCGGAGTTCTTCTCAGCTCATTTTTGAAATGAAAGATTATATGAAATGTGTAAAATCAACTCCTAGGTGCATGGAGTTGATTTTACACATTTCATATAATGCACCTAGGAGTTGATTTTACACATTTCATATAATGCACCTAGGAGTTGATTTTACACATTTCATATAATCTTCCACGCATGCAGCGTAGATAAACCGTACTCGTAAGCACTCATATTATTTGGCTTTGATTAAATTTTTACCAATTTATTCATTTCGCTTGGTCTAGCCCCACACACTGTGCTCACAGCTCCAGAGCTCGTATCAGTTACAACTTATGCGACTTTTCTATAAAACCATAGTTAAGAATAGCTCGTGACTTATTTTAATTACCACATTATCTTTGTGCGTCTTAGAAATTTCCTAATTATTAATTTGACCACGAATATCTCCAACCACTGAACGGGTTTTTCTAGCGTTTCTTTTGCAAATTCCATCAAAATTGGTCGGCAATATCGAATAGAGGAGCAAAATGGATTATGCCAAAGAACCTCGTTTGTTTCTATATCAGTTAGCTTTATTGGTACCAGAGACGCTATAAATAATATTACGACTAGGTCACTTTCATCCGTTAAAATTTGTTTGTATTCTCTTTGTCCCGATGAACCATCACATTCCCATTTAGTAAATAATTTAAGATTTCTCCTTGTTGGTTTGTAAACATTCTCAATTTTTTAAATAAGAGATGTAGTATGATCCAGCAAGTCTTGTAGTTTTACTTTAGCGCTTGTATCGGTTACCTCAATGCTAGACGGTGGAGGATAACACTTTTTTCTGCGTCATTGACCGTAACTCAGGCTGCAATGCGAGGTTCCTGCAACAATGTTTTTTGCGATTACTTTTTGATTTCTATCCCAATTCCGGAACATTTCAACAACAGAAGCTTATTCGACTTCTCCTCCAGACCGCAATCCTTGGACATATGCGTTATATATATAGTCGAGTCCATATTCTTGAATCAACTCCATATTCTTCCTCTTTTTCGATTTCTCCAATAGATTTTCATAAGAATTTGGTGGTTTTCCACGTTTTCCAGATGTTGTAGGTGAGATATCCATTGGTACTTTTTCAAGTTGTACTTTAAATTCACCGTCCAACCAGGTTTATTTTTAATTAAAAAGCGGTGTTTAGTTCGGCTAGATTTGGTCCAGCGATCTTTAAAAGCTGTTATAAGATTTTTTTGAATACTTTTCATAACTAGTTAGTTCACTTTTAGAAGATGACAAATGTTTTTTTTTATTATTATTATTTTTTTATTGTAGACAAAACAAATTACAACCATAGAACATATAAGTTTAAATATTTAACATAACAATCTGGATTGCAATTCAAGACAGGTGCATACAGAAAAAAAATTAAGAACTGAATGTTCTGAACTGAATGTAATGTTCTTCTAAATATTGTTTAATATCTTCTGATTTAGTTCTGTGGTCAATGAAAAATATGGATAACACTCGCTGAGGCACAAAAAATTCACACATTCTGTTAATATTGCTTTTACCGAGGATGGCAAAGACTGTATGTTGAAGCAGCATAAAGTACCGGTAAATAACAATGAAAATCAATAACTTTTTAGTTAAATTTCGTGAGAAAAATGTTATTATCTTCGAGCGTTTACATTTTTAACCACGTTGTTAACCACTATCTTTAAAATTGGTTAAGTATTGATTAGATATGCAATATCAACAGTAACCACAATTTCCTTCCTTTTTTTTCACCTAACTCAGTGGGAAGTACATACACTACATCAGAATTATTTAATTCACAAAATGATAATAATCATTAATGACATCCAAAGGAGTGACAAAAATTAAATTAATGTGTAAACCAGGAATTCCCACTTTTCCTTAACTTTAATTTAGTTATCAGTTAATAATATTATTTAAAAATAAATTGTCAAAAATAATTATTTTCCCCTTTCCGGAATTAAATGTTAAAATAAATTTGAAAATTTGAAATTTTTTTGGCGATAAGGCTTTTTTCGTCTCATTTAAAAAGGAGCAAATTCGCGCAAAAAATGTTGTTGCCCTGGCTTTTGTATGAGTCGCATTATATAATGCTATTAAAATTACATCGGCAGACAGCGCTTACTGTCAAGTCTTTGAAGTTTATAAAAAGGACTTTTTTTTAATTGTAAAGAAAAATACCCAACTTTTGCGTATAGGTCTATTCAAATACATAATTGTTTAAATAAAATACTAAATTACCTTTGTAACCATATATGTATAACACTTATAGATATGCATTGAAATTACTATATGATATTGATACAAAATATGACCATTTAGTCTCATATTTTTAGGCTGGTGGAATTCTGTTCTACATAATCGACGTTAATTTGAGCGTCAACTTGCAAGTTAAGTTTTATTTAGAAAAAAGTGATCTAATCTATTTTACATGCTAAAATAATATGTACAACTCGACCAAGCTAAGTTTGCACCTCGCTGGAATGCGGCGCTCCGCCCGCTTCCCCGGTCACCTTCCCGCGATCGCCCTGTCGCGTGAGTACGGTTAGCATCTTTGTCCCGACACGCGTCATACGAGTTTTCGTCTCCCTATACGTTGAATTTTAAATTTTTTAACTGTTCTTGTTAGGTTTTTTGTTGAAGTTATATATATTATTGGACTATTTTTGTTAAGTTTTTGTTAAACTGTTGTTACTGAACGTTAACGTTAATTTTTTTGCAAAATGCAACAAAATGAAAGGAAAGGTGATACAAAGTGAAGGGAGAAACATAATCCTGAAAAAGAAACATAAAGGAAAATTATTACTGAGCAATTGGGTTACAAATTTAAAAAGTGCAAGAACGCCCGGGTGGTCTTAATACAAAAACCCGATATCACTATATTCTAATGTACCTATGTATAATATATTGTTAAAAACAATAAACGTTATTACTAATTTTAAGATACTCCTGTAAAAAACTCTCCACGAGACAGGCAGTGCCTAGTGTGGAGAGTTTTTAGCAAACTGTTAAGTGTAAATGTTTTCAAGGTTAAAAAAAAAATGCAAAGTAAAATCTAACAAACGTTTGTTTACATTTTTAAAGTCACAGTATACATGGAAATCACCAGGTGACAGATTCAGGAACCAGATTGACTACCTATTGATCAACTCTCGCTGGAGGTCCACCGTATCAAATGTCAAGACCTATCCTGGGGCGGACTGTGGTTCAGACCATGTGCTCCTGGTTGCAAACTTCCACCTGCGCCTCAAAGCGCAAAAACGTAGATCCTCGAGGCGTTTGCAATTTATAGACCCGGACAAACAAGATAGCTTCCGCAATGCTCTCGACAAACAGCTTTTAGGTACAACACCACCAGCCAGTGAGTCCGCCGAAGTGCTGTGGCAGCGGCTGAAATCATCTATTGCGTCGGCCGTCTCAGAAACAGTGCCTAAACAAGCAAAACAAAAAAGATCTATGTGGATTTCAAACGATACATGAGAATTGATTGTACGCAGAAAGAACTTGCAAGGATCAGATAAACTTGAAAACTACAGTGCACTCAGTAAAGATATAAAACAACGCTGCCGACGTGACAAGAATATTTTCATTGGAAATATTTGTAAGGAAATTGAGTCGCACTCCCTAAAGTTACAATCCTCTGATCTATTTAAGAAAGTTCGTCTGCAGTCGAAGAAATTCAAAGCAAAGACCTGGGTTATCGGCGACGAGGATGGCAACCCCATCACTGATCTTCAGCTGATCACAGAAAGATGGCGTCGTTATTGTGAAAGCCTTTACAAGAACCCCACTAATGACACCACTTGTAGTCCGGATTTTGTTTGGGCTGATATAGTTCAAGAACCATCTATATTGCATTCGGAAATTAAGGCGGCCTTGAAAAAACTAAAGGATAATAAAGCGCCAGGACATGATAACATCACAGTAGAGACTCTTAAAGCACTCAGCGACACAGGAATCGATGTACTGCATAAAATCTGCAATCACATCTGGTAGAATGGTGAATGGCCGGATGATTGGAGGAACTCCATAATACTGCCTCTACACAAAAAAGGATCCACGAAAGATGTAACAACTATCGGACCCTTGCTCTTATCTCACATGCAAGTAAAATCCTGCTGCATATTATCAATTCCAGAATCCGATACGTTCTGGATTGGCAAATCCCTCAGGAACAGGTTGGTTTTGTCAAAGGCAGAGGTACTCGTGAGCAGATCCTAAACATCCGACAATTAGTAGAAAGATGCTACGAATTAGATACACCTGTTATTCTATGCTTCTTTGACTACAGCAAGACGTTTGACTGCGTTGGCTGGAACCGCTTATGGCGGGTCCTTCAGGAACTCGGAGTACCCACCCATGCACCTTATAGCTATTCTCCAATCCCTATACTATGGCAGTCAGGGCGCTGTAAGGATCGACAGCACATGTCAAACCATTTTAATTTCAGAAGAGGAGTTCGCCAGGGGTGTATTCTGTCACCCATTCTATTTAATATATACGGCGAATACATCATGCATAAGACCCTAGAAAACTGGGATGGAGGCATAACCATAGGTGGTGTCAGAGTGACGAACCTGCGCTACGCAGATGTCACCACTCTACTTGCCACGACAGAAGCAGAGATGACAGAGCTGCTGAACAGGATGGAGCACATAGGGTTGGAGATGGGATTCGCCATCAACGGATCCAAAACTAAAACCAAAAAACTAAACATGGTCGTTGATCGCACAAAAAAATTGGAGCTTAGTGGAACGCTAAACCTTGAGCTTGTTGATAACTTTATTTAACATTAACAATACCGGATCTAGCGAACCTGAAATACGACGGCGTATTGGAATGGCAAAGGGAGCCATGACCCAGCTCGGTAAAATCTGGAAGAACCGTAACATTACCCAGAAAACAAAGATAAAACTGGTGCTCACTCTGGTCTTTTCCATTTTTCTATACGGAGCGGAGACCTGGACCCTCAAAGCAGCTGATCGCAAACGTGTGGATGCTTTTGAGATGTGGTGCTGGAGAAGAATGCTCCGGATACCTTGGACAGCGAAGAGAATCAATCGGTCTATCTTAGATCAACTGCAAATCAAGACTAGACTGTCCACACTCTGCCTTCGCCGCGCACTCGAGTACTTCGGTCATATTGCTCGGAAAACACCGGATAGCTTAGAGAGACTATTCGTAACAGGGAAGATCGAGGGAAAGAGTCCGCGCGGACGCAGTCCGACAAGGTGGTTCGACCAAATCCGCACCACACTAAGAGATCCCATTCCACGACGCCTTTCATGCGGCCATTGATCGAAGGCGCTGGCGGGACATTACAAGGAGCAAAATCCTGTCGATATAATGGTCACGACCCTCAGCAGTGAGGAAACGACGCGAGGAGGAGGAGCGAATCCTTTTTTCAGACCATACCTAAGGGGCAGTGTGACTTAAGCGATGCGAGGTGCAAACTTAGCTTGGTCGAGCTGTATCAGACATTCAGTTTGACATGTGCATTAACAGAATATTTAATATCGAACATTCCCTAAACCTATTTTTAAGACAGTACGCACGGTTTTGTCTCATAGTGTGGTGGTAGGACCTCTTGTGAGTCACCATTGAGTAACCACTTAACACCAGGTGGGCTGTGAGCTCGGCCGCCAATCGAAGCAATAAACATTCTAATGAAGACTGCATTGACGTATATATTTTGTTCATTTTGTTATATTTTATTACGGTAGTTAGCGGTAACTACGAAATCTATCGTTTTTTTTACAATTTAAGTTTAAAATGACGTCTAAGCTGAAAACAGACTGTAGTTAGCACAATATTCAAATGTTGATGAATACCACTTGAAATTATAATTTGCGTAATTACTAGTGGTAGGACCTCTCGTGAGTCCGCGCGGGTAGGTACCACCACCCTGCCTATTTCTGCCGTGAAGCAGTAATGCGTTTCGGTTTGCCCGGTCACCGTTCTCGTCGAACCCGTCGCTTGCGACGAAGGGCTCGACGAGTAAACGAACTCTCAGACACAGCCCACTGAGTTTCTCGCCGGATCTTCTCAGTGGGTCGCGTTTCCGATCCGGTGGTAGATTCTGCGAAGCACGGCTCTTGCTAGGGTTCGTGTTAGCAACATCGTCAGGTTTGAGCCCCGTGAGCTCACCTACTAAAGTTAGGGTTACGCTGACATAGCCTCTCAAGGCTATCAGCTTAGGTAGGNGTAAAATAAAATGGAATTTGTGAGATAACATTATTTTTATTTACTTTATAATAAATTTGACACAATATATTTTTACTGATTATTCAGGTTTATATTGTGTACAATGGAAGATGTGGCTACAAAGCCGAATATAAACTGTAAAAATACAAACACTGTTGTCATAGAACCTATTTCTTAACTACTAGGTACTTTAATAAAGCTCCACTTTGTTTTACAAATCGTACAACACACTTTTTACAGTCAATTTCTTAATAGTATCTTAATTAATACTTATCCTACTATTTACAAAACAACTTTACTTTAATCTATGAAATTTATCTACATTGATAAAAGAGATCACAGAAAATGTAGCTGGAAATCTTTGAATAAAAGCCCTAGCATATTCTAATTTGTCTACCACTTCGTTTATCACAGTGCTTGTTTTTAATTATTGATTCGAAGGCATCTTATTAAAATAACTCACGTTATTGTCTGTTGAATAGACTGTATTTAGAATTTAAAAGCTGTTCATGATAAAGCTGCCTTTTTGTGATGTGGTAGTTGTGGCGGAAAGTATGTAAAATAATAATAAATTTGAAATTATTTGCCAAGAATCAATGGAAGACATATATGACTAATATTTTCAGCTCTTTTAATCAAATCAACTAGAATTCTGTTTGCGAATTATACTTGAAAATAATATTAAAATTACACAAATGCAATGCGTGCAATGCACAAGTACCAACATTGATTTCAGCGACATTTTTAAAAACTGCGGGTCTTGAAATGGTGTTTTAATACATTGCACAATCTTAAAATATAGTTCCTATGACTTCGATATAAAATAATCTCTCATTTCTTTTACTAGTTAGTTAATTGACACTTTTATGCATAATAAATCACTTGGCACAAAGGCATTGTTTAAAGGTCCGTACCCTGTTAACTGTATTAACACACTACGACGAACTGTTCGCAGTTATCGTCGATATTTTTTTCTTCCGGAAGACTAAATCTTGTCTATGTGGAAAAAGACGAGTTAATGTAACAAATTGGTTCCACAATTATTATTGAACTTTGTCACACTTTAGTTGTGTCCTTAGTCTATCTCAATAAGATTACTGTTCACATTTTTCACTTTTTAAATTTAAGGCATAATGCTCAGCACTGTAGTCGACTTCGCGTTTCATTATCATGTTATCTCCGATAAGCGTACTGATCCGATGTTTGTCATGTTGCGTTGACGACGGCGGTGCGGTCGCTGTGTCAGAGCGTGCGCGTTTCCGCCAAGGCTCTGATGCAGACATACTCAAATCTGTAGGCATTTCTTCATCGACTGTTTCTTCGTCACATCTTTCTTCTTTCATTTCGGTTTTTACCAAAGTTTGTGGTACAACGCGAGTGGGACTCATTTGTTGTCGCAGTAGAGATATGTTTTTGATATTTTTCAATTCTGTTGGGTTTCTTAAGAACCTGTAAATTAAGAATGTTTTTGGTTAGTTCTTATTTTCTTGCAAGATTTTTAATACTGGCATTTGGAATACTGGTACTTACTGGTAACAGTGTCTTTCGCCCTGGACTTTGCGCAAAATATTAACACGGTAATAATATCTCAGGGCGCGGGACATTTTGTCGTAGTTCATGGATAGGTGATTTTTTTGAATTCCCCACAATTTGGCTAGTCCAGCAGGATCAACAATTTTAAACACGCCAGTGTCTCTGTTCTTCCATGCAATATAGTTTGTGTATCTTTGCGTTGGGTCATTCAGAAGTTGTTGTAAGAAGTCCCACAATAGTCTTCCATCTACAAGAAAACAAAGTATACATAAATATTGATGAAGGTTTTATGTTTATTTTGAAACAAATTTTTATTTATACGTACTTGTATTGGACTCTGGCATATCATTTGGAAAAAATTCCCTATGTTGAGCGCGGTAATGAGGATGTTGTTGTGTTGGATGATTTTGCGGGGCTGGACTCGTTATTGGAGCTTCTTTAGGAGAACGTGGAGGTGGAGCGTATTGACCCTCTTCATCGGAATCTGAATGATTACTTCCGGAACTGGCAGCTTGAGTAGTGGGGGGCACGGACGGTGCATACGCTGGCGCATAAGTTACAGTGTCTCCTCTTTGAGGACTTCCAGAACTATCAACTGATGGAGCAGGACTGAGAGTCACTGAATTAGGTTGAGCTGCTGCAGCTGCTGCAGCGCTGTGGAAATGGTGGAAACCATCAACAGTCCAAGTTGGTGTCGGTGGATGAGAGTGGGGAGAGGGTGGATACGGTGCCGCACGAGCGGTGGGAGTAACAGGTGAGGAAGGAACTCTGCCTAACAGCGCTGCGTCGCGTACAAGCATTTGAAGAACATTATGTAAGACATCGCCTGCTCCAGGACACCTTTCACCCAAATCTGTTTTAGTAAGCAAGCATAATGCTTTACCTGTCAACAAAGAAAAAAGGTAATGAAATACCCAATTTTTTCATACAAAGTTTCACAATATAAGTAAGTGTATTTGTTGATTGTCATTATTTAGTTTAACATTAGAGCAAGAAATCGACGTTATTTTAGAATTGCACATTACGCAGGTAAATAAAGTTATCATAAGCAAGCATGATGCATACCGTTCATTTGAAAGAGGTCCATATCGAAATTAGGTAGATCGAATTCTCTTTCACACCATTTCAGAAATACAGAAACATCCTCTCTGGTCCATAGTCTTGGTTCTGGCGGAAGACCGGCTGGCAGTTGCGCCTTGGTGTCACCAAGCGGTGAAGGAGGCGGTGGCGCCCAGGGTAGTGGGTAACGCCATAATAGTTCTGTTGGACTGAATGGTAGCGGTAGCCGCTCCATACTGGGCCCAGACGGCAGTTGTAAGCTTACAACTTTCATTACGTTAATCTGAAACAAATTTTCACATTAGGATTGACTTTGTGTTAGTATTCTGTATATTATTATGATTTTCAAGAGTTCGTTAAAATGTTCGCTATTTGATCACAGATGTCGTTGTTACTAGAAATAATTGTTAGATTATAAAATAATAATGTTTGATAATTTAACCAATAGACGAACAGGTTCATTTTATTCTTTGTGTTGCATCAGTAGTGTTGTTGTATTTTGTTTAAATAACGTTATAAATGATGCGTCATGTTTAGTTGACATTTTAATATTATCGAAACATATTATTATTTTAAAATATTGTGGTTACACCGATACTGTCAAGAATGGTACTAGGTGGTAGGTTTGTATTTTTTTATTTTATTGGGTACTTAAATTAAATGAAATTATTAGCTATTGGCACATTTTTTTAAACTCACTAGTATCGCCTGTGGCAATTTTAAGGAAAAATCATGTTTTTTTACCTGTCTTGACACGTCTATGTCACGGACAAAAGCATTTCAAATCACTCCCAAGTAATCAATCAAAAAAGTCTAAGCTTATTTCTCGGTATTCGCTTAATATTATTCTAAGGTTGACGTGACTAACGTATTTTTTTAAAAATGATAAACACATAATTATTTAAAGATTGTAAATAAGAAGTTACAAAAGTTATCTTTATGAGATAACCCGTCAGTAAAGCAGTTGAAGTATTATTACGAATAAATAGCCTTTATAAGACTATTTACTAAAACAAACATCGAGCTATAAGTATAATCAAATTAAACTTGAAACTTCGATGAGGGAAAAGTATATGGCAAAAACATGATTTGATATGACAATTTAAAGAACAATATCCCGTGTCAACTATGAATGAAGTACAGCCACCTGCTGCTTTAGTATTGTTTAGGGTTGTAGGTAGGTATGCGACGAGACGACACCCTCTTTCAATCGAGCTTTATCCGTTGGACCATTCACGTGAAAGCAGTTTTCTGTACAGTTTTTGTCGCTTCACCAACTTAAAAAGTTCACAGAGTGTGAAAAAGCCTATTTTGTTAATTTTATCGCAGATTACATAAAACAGCGGAGGGTTGACAATTCATTGCGGTATTTGAAATACGTTCACAATATTGAAGTTCTTGACCGGATTCGAATTCCATATTATTAGGCACTATACAGTCGCCTTATCGGGCGCGGTCGGAAATGCGTGAGTCCACGATAGCACAGTTTGCGATAAGCACCGCTACTCACCGGCTAAGCTGATCCGGAACTGGTTGCGTTGTCAAAATCCTTGTTGAAAACAGAAACTGGACAACTCAGTACACGTACATTATCATCACAAAAGTTAGCACAGAATTCAGTGTACACAGAGCACCAGACACACGCGTAACGGCGGTGATCCCTCCAAACGTGTCGTGTTACGGCACGCCGTAAACCAGCAGCGTATCTGAGGGAACGAACTCGCAAGCGAGCGTTTCGGACGGCTCTTCGACGCGGACTGATGATGCGGCGGCTGAGGGCGGCGCGGGCGGACGGATGCACGGCTGCCGTTCCCCCCGCATACCTCATCACTCCGCGCCACCTCACATGCTGAGATAAAACTTTGGTAGCTAGACCAAGTCCCATTTTAACTAAACATACGAGCAATGTTTCCGCAACTCGTTATCGGACTTGGCGCCGAGTGATGCTCTAAAATCAGTCGTTTTACAAGAAATTATAATTATCAAATACGGCAGTAGAATAATAATATTTTGTATAGATCCGTGTAAAAAGAAGATACATTCTTTGTGTTTTATTTGTTAGTATAAGGCACGCAGAAATACTAGTACATATTAGAATTACGTCAGCACACCAGTTTTTAATAACGCTCAATATTTCCTTGTGTATACCTATGTGACATTGTAAAGCGTTGCGGGCACCGGACTTGTTTTTCAATTAGATATCAATTTACATTAGGTTTTCGGACTTGTTACTATCTAAATGAATAAACAATTAAAATTCATCTTTTTCTATGTTTTTACATATCAGTAAACGGTCGTCTTGGAAAATATTCATTCGACAAAGCACAGGAAATGTCTCGGTCGACAGTTTCCTGGTTCTGAGTAAGACAATACGAATGCTAACCGGTTTGAACTGAGCTCACAATATTTTACAGTCACTCTTTGGTAACAAAGCAATACTGATTGTTTTTAATTTACAAGTTCTGGTGGTTGTCAAAAATTGAAATCATGTGAATTATGTATCATAGAACTATAACATAAGAACGAATAAACCATATTTGATATAATTACGTAAGAATGTATATAATATTCTGTATGCAACTGTGTTGTAAGTTTATCTTTTTTCAATACATAGGTTTTGCTAAAGGCTAGAGCAGACGAAAGTGTAGAAATTACTCATATGCCTGTATGTGTATAGTGTGTGTGGGTTGAGATTATGTGTGCCCTGGCTGTCGTCCCACTACCGGTTCGAGACAGAAATATTTGGCAGCCAAGACGGAAGTGGCCTCGGAATCTTTACCTGTTGCTCCCTTCGCCCGCGTCTCGCTCCCTAGTGCTTTCGTCTCGCTCTGGCGCATTAGCGCGTATTACTGCTACGGCGGCACGCAGACGGTCTTCGTGGAGTTATGTGCAGTAATTTAAAGAATAAAGACGACCAATGTTGTTTGACCGTGACCGCGGACATCAATTTATTTGTGGTTACATACACGTTTAGGTTAAATATTATCGATTTTTGGATAGGAACTATTTCCCTAAATATTGTTCAAGCTAAACCTAATTTTCGGAAGTACATAATGTGGGTACGTTAACGTACACTTAATTAAACTGGCAGACAAGCAAGCGGATTATTATCACACTCCATTTGATACGAGGTTTCTATCAAAATCTTTCGAGTGCGTGCAAGGATGGTACAGTGGACATAAACTTTGTACATGACATAACTCTGCAGANGAACTATTTCCCTAAATATTGTTCAAGCTAAACCTAATTTTCGGAAGTACATAATGTGGGTACGTTAACGTACACTTAATTAAACTGGCAGACAAGCAAGCGGATTATTATCACACTCCATTTGATACGAGGTTTCTATCAAAATCTTTCGAGTGCGTGCAAGGATGGTACAGTGGACATAAACTTTGTACATGACATAACTCTGCAGATCGTACGAAATATGCTGCTGACGATAGCCGGAAGCACGCCGGCCGGATGTCCGCGTCTGTATAGAGAAGTTTCCTATATTTGCGAACATTAGTATTTACGTAACAATACTTAAATCATATTAAATAAATACTTTTTTGTTTTAACGAAATTAGTCGAAAAAATAGCAAATAACGTTTTAAAAATGGACACAAGAAAGAGTGGGTGCGTAGGGGAAATATCTCGCTCTCTCGAATGTTCGCAGCTAAAGGCTAAATGACGTCATGATACATTATGTGCATCCTTTTCTGCCATAATAATATAATAATTATGTTAATAATAAGTAAAGTGAATATAAGTATATTAATTAGAATTAAATAACTCATATATTTTTAATAAAAAGTGGAGTCAACTAATTAGTATTCCTAATTTCGGAAGACGGACTATCCAATAATGGCCCCAGTACACCAACTAAGTGCATACTTCTAATCAACATTTTTAATCAGTTGTCCGTGATTACGAAAACTAAATTATTCGAAAATGCGCTATTAAAGCGTAAACCTAAGAAACTAATTCTAATCAAGCGATTCTAAACCTTTTTGGGAAAGTCAGAGTGAAAGATCAAAACCGTTTGAAGAACAGTTCAAAAAGTTGTAATTTGAAATTTTTGGCTTTAGTCGAGATAAATTAAGTGAAATTACAAAAAATACAATTTTTTAAATAATAACCCAAATTTAAAAATCAAATGAATTTTGGCATTGCTAAATTTGTATTTTTCTCTCTATTTTTGTTAACTAAGTTATTTAAATAAAATATATAACATATATTTTGATTTCCTCGTATATTTTAAAATCGTGTCTAATGAGTTTTAATTCGCTGACCAAATAGACAAAGGACTAAACTGTTCTAGAGTTACAGACGAGCTCGCAACCTATTCGGCGTAATGTAGTTACCGAAGTACAAAGAAATCATGACGTGGTTGCCGCCACTTCATAAGTTCGAAGTTTGAATTGTGTAACGGCTGCTCTACTCGCATCTTTCAAAGCGGAACGCATAACTAACTGATTAAGAATTAGGAAAACAAATGGTGAAATACGATGTTGCTTCGGAAGGATGATCAGGAAATAGTCGTCTTTATGTTATGGTCTTATACGAGGATTTGCTATTATAAAATGTTTAAGTACCTAGTGAAAAAAGTATTAAGTGCGTAAAATTATACCTCACCAATATATTATGTAAATAAAAGGGAAAATAACCTAAAATACTTTTATTAAATTCATTTTGACACTTACTAGTTGTGACCTGGTTGGTATGCGACGAACGGTTGGTCTCAAATTCGAATTCATGCGGAAGTGCCCGAAATAAGTTCATTGCGTGGGCGCATAGTTTCAGCTACCGCTTGTTGTGTTCCTAAATATACGTATTGTTCAATTTAGTGTTTCTAGACGTGTAGGTAAATATGAATTAGTCAACTGGTTTCAAATATACCCATCAGTCAGATTAAAAAAAAAACTTAATAGTTTTTAAAATATACTCAATATTACTTAAAGCTTTTTTTTATTTCCTCTTTTCTATTAATGTTTTAAGTAGGTTACTATTAACATATGAAGTTTCCGCTTAATATACAGAAAGATTATTTTTTTTAAATAGTTTTTGTTTATTAAAATATAATTAAAATATGCATTTATAGTACCGATGCATATCTGCCAGCGTAGTGGTAATTTTTCAATGCCCTTCTTGAAGAAGTCAGCTGTACAGGAGCCAACAAAGGTATCTTGTACTGCCCCTCAGGTATAATTTTTTTTCCAAAGTTTGGAAACTGTAGAAGTCTACGGTGGATAAAGCAAAACTTCCAACTCTAGCTTTTGTATCTTAGAG